TGAGTTCCGGCGGCACAGGGCCTCCGTCTTCAGTTCCCCAACACCCCTGGTCTCAGCTGGCCAAGGCAAACTCCACTTGGGGTACTCTCAGCCACCTCAATCCCCTACACACACACACACTCACACACACTCACTTGGCCTGGGTCACGCCTACTTGTCTCAGTGTAAATGTCACATCTTGGGACCAGGCTCCCTTCTCCTGTGATCTAGTCCTTTTCCTCCATGGCATTTGTTGCTCTAATAAATAATAAACTGGAGTTAAAGTGGCAGTGGTTGGAAGCAGACCTTCCCTGGGGACTGTGATTGGTAGGAAAGGGCCAGGTGCAGGCGCGGGGTCCAGGAAGGAGTGGCTGAGTCGGAGGAGTGCTGAGACACCAAGAAGGGCAGCTGCTCTGCTGAGTGGGGCGGTGCCCAGGGGCACGGGCCCCTCAGGATTTGCTGGAAGGATCGGCAGCTCTGCTCAGGTGGGCATTCCCCGGGCCATGTTCTCTGGGCAGCCAGGCTCCCAGGGGCTCCATCTGTGGTGCTGTACAGTGTCTGTGAATGTAGCTAAACAGGTTTGTGAACTTGAGAACTTATAAAAACTCGGGTTTTCATTCTTCTGATGTTATTTAAACCCAGTTATTTTCTTCTGCTTCCAAATTAGAAGCTTCCATGTGCAATTCCAAGTACAATCACGTATCAAGAAAGTAAATGGGGCCTGTGAAGAAGTTTCTTCCCATCTGCCAATAATCTAATGACTCTATGACTTCAAAACATCGGAAAAGCCCCGTGTGGGAGTGCACGCCTATAACCCTAGCTACTGGGGAAGCCAAGGCAGGAGGATCGCAAGTTCAAGGCCAGCCTGGGCAACTTAGCAAGAGCTGGGGATGTAGCTCAGTGGTAGACTGCTTGCCCGGAATGTACAAGGCCCTGAGTTCAATCCCCATCCCTGGAAAAAATAATGTGGAAAAGCCTTGACCTATGAGGTTAGGGCTTCTGGGATTTTCAAGGGACGGTCAGTTTGATCACATGGCCATATTCTAGGCCATGTGCAGTACATACTGACCAAGTGGAAAACGTTCCTCTTTTTACTCACTTCCTGCTCACATTGCCTCAGCGACATGAAGCAGGCCTCAGCTGTGCCCTGGGCATCTTTCCCTGCCTGACCTGTCCTCTCCACATACGCAGCCGCAGAGCCAGATGCCCCGTGGCCCTTGCCCGGCTCCTCCTTACGCTGCTCCTGAAAGTCCTCATTCACGGCCCAGACCCCCGAGGCCTGAGCGAACTCTCCTGCCACCACTCATTCTGTGGCTTTGGAGAAACCACCCACCTTCTCTTGCCTCAGCTTCCTCAGTTGAGTGGGGTGCCTCGGTGACTCCCCCTTGCAGTTGTGTGAATCAGGTGAGACCACCCACAGAGGGCAGGCACATGGCGGGTGCTCAGGACCTTAGCTCCTGGAATCTGCATGTGACCTCCACCCTCAGGTCACATGATGACACGAACGTCTCCTCGCCCGCCCCTGTCCACCTGCCCTGTGGCCTTCACGCCCTGCCAGTGTTCAGCCTCTTCCACCTGTAACATGGCCAACATTCCACCCTGGGCTGCTCTCATCCCCCTGCAGGGCATCATGCGAGCCTCTCCAGGGCAGGCACCCGAGGGCCCCCTGTCCCGAGGGCCTCTCCACTGAGAGTCCAGCTCCAGAGCTGCTGAACCAGGAGAGGCCACAGCGGACTGGGAGGCAGGCCCGGCCTGGAGGCTTGTTGTAATCTCAGAAGGCAGGCCTCCTGTGGCCTGAAGGACTCACTGTCCCCGGACTCCTGCTCAGGCAGCAGGAGTGACCCCCAGCCAAGGGTGTTTGAGCAGGGCCCGCAGGTATGCAGGGCCCACAGGTGGCCCTGGCTCACCAGGTGTGCTACTGAACTGACCAGCGTGAGAGTGGCCCAGGTAGGGGTTTCTGGACACGCTGTGGAGACAGAGGAATTGCACGTTCACTGCAGGTGCAGTTGAGGGGACCCGTCCCGATCACATGTACCTCTGTACTGGGGCACCTCTCCCCACTCTTCCCCTTTGCCCTCAGCAACAAGAACCCCACAGTCCAAGAGCCACTGGCCACAGGCTGAAGCTGTCCTGCTTCCGCCTCTGTGCTCTTTGGCGAGAGGAGGAATTTCAGAGATGTGGGCCCAGGATGCCTGGAGCCTGCGGCCTCTCCTCAGCCACCCCGCCACCTCCTCTGTGGCCTTCACACCCGCCAGTCTTCAGGCTCTCCCACCTTGTAGCATGGCCAGGGTTCAACCATGGGCTCCTCTGACTCCAAAGATCCCCAGCAGGTGCTTTTGGGTCTGCCTGGCCCTCTGCTGCGTCCACCGCCTGCTCCGAGCTCGCCCTCTGCTGCGTCCACCGCCTGCTCTGACCTCACCTCCTGTGACTTGCCACCTCTCTCCTCTCTCCTTCCAGCCCTGCTCTTGCCTGGGCTCCTTTTCTGTGCATCCTGCAGAAGCCCGAGCTGGAAATGCAGGTGGCATCTTGACTCTGCCCTATTCCTACCCATTCAGTCGCCCGTTCTGGTCAGTCTTTCCTCCTAAATGGCCCTCGCGGCCTGTGCTCGTCAGCTTCCATTACCGTGCGAACACTTGAGATGATCATGATGAGAAGGGTGTATTTGAGCTCGTGGTTTGGGGGTTACAGTTCACGATTGGTGCCATTGCTTCTGGGTCTGTGGAGGAAGTCCATGGCCAGATGGCTCACCTTGTGGCCCAGGACAAAAGAGGAGGACAACACTGGGCCCCACAGTCCCTTCAAGGACACTTTCAAGGGTACACCTCCCTGTGACCTGAATACCTCCCCTAGGCCCCCCTCTTAAAGTCTGCAGTCTCCCAAGAGTGCCAGGCTGGGGACCAAGCAGGGGACCACACAGGCCTTAAGGGATTCCGCAGACCCAACCTATAGCAACGTCTCCATGGCACTGACCCTTTGAGTCCTATTAATGATCTCTAGCTCCTCTGACCCCGTGCCAGGCTAGGCTGCCATCCTCTTCAGTTTCTCAGACCCCTGAGGTCAACAGAGTGTCAGCTCCAACCTCCACCCAAAGCCATCCTTAAGATCTCGACTCATTCCCAGACAGAGCCGTGTGCTCAGGGTCACCGCTGGGCCCAGCCTTCCGCCTCTGCTGACCCCTTGTTCTCCATTCCCCTCTAGGCCCATCAGACCGGGGCACCTGCAGGTGGGAGCCACACCTGCCCTGCTCTCAAGTCCCTAGACTGGCCCTGGCCTGGCAGGTGGCGGGACTCTAACACCCTCTGAATGGCCGACTCAGTCAACTGCAGGTCTGCAGCTCTTCCTGCCCCTCCGAAGGTGGGCCACAGGCTCGCTCCTGATTCTTGGTCCTCCCCTTAGAAAGCGCCCACAGCGAAAGGGTCTGTGGGTGGCAGGCAGCGCTCGTGCTGAGCCCCCACAGCAACAGGGAGCTGCACATCTAGAGCGGGGTCTCCTGGACCTCAAGCCCTTGCCAGAGGTTCCCCCCTTGCCCTCACCCCAGAAGTGACCGGCTGCTCTTCACTTCCTGGCCCCTGCCCACTCCTTCCCAACGCAGCTCCCAGCTCCCTGGACCAGGCCAGCGGAAGCTCAGCTCAGAGGGCCTGCCCTCTGGAGGCAGTGTGCTTGCCACTCTTCCTCTTCTGTAACAAGGACTGTGGCCTCCAAATGGGCCTCCCTGCCTCATGCCTGCCAGCCCTGTCCCCAGCCTGCCCAGTCCCCACACTGCAGCCAGAGAGTGCTGCAGATAACCCCGACGGCTGTGCTCTTTTGCCTAAAACCCTCCAGTGACCTTGGAGGCCCTCCGCACTCAGACTCTTTTCCTCCCCAGCCGCATCTTGCCTCTCAGGCCTGGGAGCCCTGCTCCAGGCTTCGGAGCTTCTTCCCCTCCTGTGGCTCGCTGGCCTGGGGCCTGGCTCCGGACAGCTTCCCAGCCAGCGTGGCCAGGTGGCCCTTCCTCCCGGAAGCCGTGTGGCGCCTGTGGCCAGGTCGGGAGCTCCCACTGTGCCTTTCACCCGTGGCTCCAGATCACAGCAGCCTCCACTGTGTCTGCTCCTCCTCCCCTCCCCCTCGTGACCTCCCTGGTGGTGGGCAGTGGTGCCCAGCACCATCTCTCCAGCCTCTATCAGGAGGGTGGGTGCCAGTGAGGAGCAGGGACGGCCTCTTCTTCCCCGCTGCACTGTTCCCGGAGCTCACAGCGGCCTGAGGTATCAGTGCCCGTGGCTGCTGTAACAAGTGACCGCCCCTTAGGGCTTGCACGCTGCGACTTAGCATCGGACGGTTCAGGAGGTCACAGATTCAGGACATATCTCTGCACCAAGTCGTCCCAGGACGTGCTCCTCTGGAGGCTCTGGGAGGAGCCCGGTGGCCTTGGACTTCGAGGAGAACCTGCATTGGTGGCCAGTCCCTCTGACCTCCCTCCCTCCGACCCTGACTCTTCTGCCATCTCCTGCACTCTGAGGCCCCTGTGATCACGAGGGCCACCCACACAATCCGGGGTGGTCCCCTGCTTTAAGGCCTGTGCTGGAAGCCTGGATCCATCGCAGCCTCCGTCGCCCTGAGCCACGGGGCTTCATTTGCTGGCAGGTTCCAGGCTCCCTGGAACAGACTGAAATGCCCCTCGGTGCAGTATCTGCTCTGGAGTGTCCTTCTGGAGCCAACCCTCCCCCACCCCGGCCTTCTGCCATGCAGCCTCAGGGACGGCTGTCCCCGGGACTTCCCGTGTCCTGAGTGGGCACTTGAGGTGTGAGCAGGTACCGAGGAGACCGAGCGCTGGCTGTGAGGACTGCCTCTGAGGACTCCTCATCACTGCCTCTGTGGTGCTCCCTGACCGCCAGGCTCCCCAGCCCAGAAGTCCCCAGGGACCCACTACCCAGCCAGACATCAGGACCCATCCATCCCCTCTGTCCCTTACTCCCTCCCACCCCCGTGCCAGGGGGTCCCAGGTCCCACCCCTGAGCCCTCCTCCCCACCCCACTCTGTGACAGGTGTGGTCCACTCACTGCCACCTCTCCGCCGAACCTTTCCAGGACCTGCCTCCTCTCAGCTGGACCTTGCCAGGGCCTGCCTCCTGGTCTGCTTCTAGCCGTCCATCCTCCACAGAGGCCTGTCAGTGGAAGGTCAGTCCCTCCTTGAGACCCTCTGAGTGGCACCGCATCACTCAACAGGAGGCACCGACGCTTGCCCTGCTGCTGCCCCAGACTGCCCGGCCCTTCCTCTCTCCAGTCCCCTCAGGTGTGCCTGGCCTGCCCCACTTCTCTGTCCCTGTCACTCAACCTGGGTTCCCATCTAAGTTTTTTTTTTCTTTTTTTTTAATATTTATTTTTTAGTCGTCAGTGGACACAATGTCTTTATTTCATCTTTTTTTATGTGGCGCTAAGGTTCGAACCCAGGGCCTCACATGTGCTAGGCGAGCACTCTACCACTGAGCCACAACCCCAGCCCCATCTGTGTTTCTGTTCAGAATAATTTTCCTCCCGTCTTGTCCCTGACTGGGATCCAACCAGATCCCCCCTTCTCAGTGCGTCTTCCTGCGCCCCGAGCAGAGGTGCCCAGGGCGTTGGCACAGGCCTGGCTGACCACTGGAGGTCGACTGCGGGAGGGAAGGACTGCTGTCTCGCTCAGCGTCAGCCCCGGAGGCTAGAACAGTAAGAGAGGCGGTTAGGATCAGTCCTAGAGGGAAGCCGGGGCTGGGTGCCGCGTGCCTGGCGAGGGGGGAGGCTGGGTCCCGGAGTGCTTACTAACCTGAAGAGCAAGGTGCTCGGCCCCTCTGCCAGCCTCCCTGCTAGAAGTGGTCAGCCTCACGGGGACACGCCCACTGTAGCCACAGGTGCTCTGGGTCAGCAGGTAGGGCGAGGGGCCCACGAGGTCCAGTCCAGGGGCCTTCCCGTCATCCTGCAGTGGCAGTGCTCAGCCCTGGATGGCTGGGGAGTAGAGGAAAGGGAAGAGTTAAAGGATCAGCAGCATGCCGATGAGAGACCACCTGAGCCTCAGTGACAACGGGGTGCCTCTTAGGTGATGGCTGGCGTCTCAGAGGGGTGGCCCCCGCAGGCTGTCTTCGGCTCTGCCGTCCTGCAGGATGGAGGGGGCGAGCCGCCATCTGCCCTCGAGGCCCTGGCCCTCTGGCCTGTTCTCCTGAGCAAGAGAACCTTCCTTCTGGCCAAGAGCAAGGGCTCGTCGGCCAGGCAGAGCCTCTGGTATCCCTAAGCGGAGGCCCAAGGCTGTGGGGCACTTGGACCCTGGAGGAGGAGGGGCAGGAGCAGCAGTGGCAGGAGGAGGGAGAGCCCACTCTGGCTCCACAAAGGCCGCCCTGTGTGGATGGTCAGCAGCTTCCAAACCGTGTTTCCTCCACGTGGCAACCATGGGAGAGGTCCACGCAGTCCAGCCACAGCGCTCCTCGGTTCCTTCAGAAGAACGTGCCAAAGGAATGGAAAGAAAACACCAGAGGTGACTTTCTTCTGGCCTCGGCACAGCCGGACGGCACCCGCAGCCGTCTGTCTAAGCTGGCGGGTGGGCATGGTGACAGGAGGGCTTAGCAGGCACATCAGGTCCCGGGGGATGGAGGGAAGGCCACAGTCTGCGGAGGCCAGGGAGGACGAAGGCAGGACAGGGAGAAGTGTCCAAGATGCTGTGTGGCCAGGGGTGAGCTGAGGGTGTCCTTGGCCTCTGGAGCCGGTGCCCAGGCCCCGACGCTGGCAGACCAGGTGGGAGGCAGGAGGGGAAGGGACCAGCCTTGGCGAGCACCTCCCACCTCAGGCCCTTGCCCGGTTCCTTGTGGGCCAGGAAAGGAAATGCAATGCCGGGGAGCCCGAGGGGTCTCAGGAAAGCCCCGGAGTAAACGGGAACACTGAGTCCTTCCCAGACCTTAGACCACAGTTCAGGTGAGAGCGTGGCTCTCCCCAGCAGCTCAGAGCTGAGAGGGAGCTGGCCAGGGGCAGAGCCGGACGGGCGAGGTTACTGGTCTGCTGCAGAAATGCAGGCAGAGCCTCAGGCAGACTGAGCCACCAGCCCTGTCCATCCCCAAGACCATGCTTGCTCCCCTGCACCTGGCACCCGAAGGCTGATGACTAGTTGGAGCTCACATAGCACCTTTTCAGCTTCCAGGGCACTTCCCCCAGCTGCACCTCTTAGCGGACGTCCATGGCTGTCTTATCAGGTGTTGGGACAAACGTTTATTCCCCTCTGCTTCTCCTGTGTGACTCTGGCTAAGTTACTTGTTCTCTCTGGGCTCTCATGTGCCCAGTGGGCATCAGGCAGCGATCAGTCTGGCACAGCATGATGGCAGGTGTCTGGGCTTGCCGGACCCAAGAGCTCTGGCGTCCTGCAGTCTGAGACCCACTCCGTGGGCCCCAGGAAGACACATAGAGGGGCTAGTCTTCCCTGCGACCCAGCTCTTCAGCTCTAAATGCACCAGAGCCTTACGGTGCTGCTGCTGAGCCCCTGCCAAGCCCGGTTTCCAGACAGGGAAGTTCGGGAGGAGGTTTTGATTCCTGCCCTGCTCTATTTTTAACTGGAATGTGTGCTGGGCCACCAGCGCCGGCGCCCGGGAGGCCGAGGGAGAGTGTGCTGTCAGCAGGACCCGCGCAAGAAATAGCAGTGAATGGAGGCCGATAGGTTGTGTGGGCAGGAAGCTGGACAGATGGACAAGCCAGTGGGCCAAGAGTGGCTTGGTTCACCACGCCCGCCCCAGAGGCTGTCCCGTGTTCCAGGAGGACAGGTTTTGGTCTCTGACCTGGCAGATGAGAAGGCCCAACAGGTGTGAGTCCTGTGAGCCCTGCCCCGTGGGGCGCTCCCGGGGTGGGGCGCTGGACGTCTGTCCAGCAGTAGAGGCAGTCTGGCGTCTTCAGTAGCAGTGAAGTGAATCTTTCACCCTCTAAGTGAGACCAGTGTGGGTGTGGGGTTGGAATGCAGGTGAACGGGAATCAGGGCTGGCAACAGGACGAGGTCACTACCCAGCACAGCCCCTCAAGGTCAGAAGTTCTCTGACCCTGGAGACCCTCCCGCCTCTGAAGGAATCTTCTCCAAATTCATCTCATTTACTTAACTCCATTTTTTTTTTTTTTTAGTTTTTAGTTGTAGATGGACACAATACCTTTATTTTGTTTATTTATTTTTATGTGGTGCTGAGGATCGAACCCAGGGCCTCACACAAGAAGGCAAGCGCCCTGCTGCTGAGCCCCAGCCCAGCCCCTTGACTCCACTATTGGGAGCTGGTGGGGGCTGGTGGGGTGGGAGAAGCCAGGAAGCTTTGAGACACTTGTCACACAAAAAGGAGGCTCCAGGAAATGGGTGTGTGCCCGGTGGGGGCGGGGGGCGCCTGCTGCTGGGGTCCTGTCTTTAGGGCCACGAGGCCTGTGGGCAGGCAGAGATGGACTTTCTCAAACTGCTGCCAGTCCTCCCAGTTTCCAGCTAGATGTGCAGGAGGGAGGTGGCAGTCTAAGAAATGTCCCCATTGTGACAAAGAGGGTGAAGCCTGCTGCCTGGGATCGGACCTGAAAATGTCATTAAAACCAGGTGTCATAGGCCCCGTGTAACGAGGTGGGAGCAAGGGGCATTCCTAGGGCTGCTGCTAGCCCTGCCTTGGGGACACAGCTCGGTGACATGTCATGTCACGTCTTGGCCTGAGACTTGACAGTGAGCAGTGACCCGAGCTGGAGGCAGGATGACAAGAACCCTGAAGCACTCGGAGGGCTCCAGGCCTCGTGCCTATCAGCTGACCCACAGAGCAGCCCTGCGAGGGGCACCTGCTGCCCCGTGGAGGCAGGGAGAGGTCCAGCCAGGCAGGAGGGTCGAGTCCGTGGTGGAGTCTCAGCGGCCTGGTTCTCACCCTGCAGGCCACCGCCTCCTGAGGCACCTTCCTAATGCAGCAGTTATCTGTGGAACAACTCTTTGCCCAAGGCAGTCAATTAAGTAGGAAAGCCAAGGCCCGTGTGTTAAATTCAGCAGGGGCGTCTGCTCACCCCTTTCCTACCAACAAAGGCCCATCTCTCTAAATGCACGGTGCAGCCCCCATTTGTCAAAGTTGCTGGGTGACGGATGGAAACCACTATGCATACAGTCCTTTTCTGGGTCCTTGCCGAATGAGAAACCCTGGCCTGTGCTACCCCTGCATCCCTGGGTCCCCCTCCAGGACAGGTCCAATTTATTTGCCCCCAGGTCCCCAGAGGCATATCCAGGGCAGAGTGTATTGTAGATATTTGCTAATCCTGGTTGACCGCATGCTTTGTAAAAATTCCTGAATACAGGCGCTGACGGCAGAACACCATTACTACCCTGTCACCCATTCCTGCTTGTGGCCACAAAACAAGTGCCCCTCGTGGCACTGGTACTGATACTCTGAAGAGCCAAGTGCCCACTTGCTGATCAACTTTTGCTTCTCTTTGGCTTGCCAGGAAAGGCCGGCAGAGACAAATGCCAATGTGGACAGTTCAGCATCCCCGTCGGTGGCCCAGCTGGCCGGGCGGTTTCGGGAGCAGGCGGCTGCAGCCACAGAGGTGAGCCTCCGGGCTTCCTGTTCTGGGAGGGAAGGGGAGTCTGCTCGGGCTGAGAAGAGGAGGGAGAGGCTTGCTATTGCCAAATTAGGAAAAGAAGCCAGAGGGGTCCCTGGGATCCGGGGAATGTGCCCTGGGGGCAGAGCCTGAGCAGTCCTGCACTCCACACTGAGGTGGTCAGCTGGGACCGGGAGGTGTTGTGAACAGGCCCACAGAGCGGGCTCCTCTGGCTCTTCCACTGGCCCAGACTGAGCTCCTGCACCGCTGCCAGGCCAGGCTCCGAGGGCTGCCCTCCCCCAGAGATCAGGAGCAGGCCCTGAGTTGAGCAGGACGAGAGGAAGCACTTCCTGGAGGAAGCCGGGCATCGGGGACAGAGGGAGTCCTGCTCAGGGGGAAGTGTGGAGACGCTGTGGCTTTGGGGAGAGCTGGGCTCGGTTTCTCAGCCTCAGGGACCAGGGGTGAGCGGAGAGGAGCAGGGTGGGAGGCCCCTGGCAGCCTGCTGACCTTCTCAGGTGCGCTGTTTTGGTATTTGGTTTTCTCAACTGAAAAATTGGGCCCATAATTCCTCGACCTCATAGGAGCGTCCTAAGGGACAAAGGGGATGACATGGATCTCAGGTGCTGGCACTGCCTAAAAAGCTAAAGAGGCTGGATGTGGCTGTCATTTTGAGGTGCTGGTCCAGTCAGTGAGTCGGGGAAGGAGGGGTTCTGCAGGGACGGAGATGCTGAGTCCCAGAGCGGCCACACGGCGCCCGCTCCCAGCGCCTGGCAGCCCACCCACACAGCCTCCTGCATCCCACCTTCTCCAGACGCCCTCAGCACTCCTGTGGCGCCCACTCCTCCCTCTTCCTCCCTGTTGCCTGATGGGCTGTCTCTTTCTCTCTCCCTGTGTCCGTCTGTCGCCCTCCCTCTAGACACCAGCCACTAAGCCAACAAGAAGGAAACCACCCTGCTCCCTCCCCCTGTTCCCCCCCAGGCTAGAGCTGGGCCAGAATGGTGAGGAGGTAAGTGTCGCTGGGCGGAGGAAGAGGCACAGCCATCACACTTGCAGGCCTCCGAAGTCTGGGCAGGGAATTTCTCCGTTTCACATTCAAGGATGAATCTCTCTTTTTTAACTTTTTTCCTGGTTGTTTGTTTATTATTAGTATTCTGGGGTTTTATGGTGCTGGGGACAACCCAAGGCCTTGCGCATGCCGTGTATGGGCTCAACCTGGCCACACCCCCACCCCGAATCTCTCTTCTTTCTGCTCCTTGGATCCTTTACCTTGGAGTCTCAGTGCCCACTGAGCCCCTGCATGGTCCACCGAGGACAGGAGCACCACTCTTCAAACCTAAGGATGCCAGCCAAGAGTGGGCCCCATACTGTCACCGCACCAGGGTCAAGCTTCAGGGAAGCCATGTCTTGTTCCCAGGCCTGACGGGTGGGTTCGGGATGAGGTGCCCAGAGGGGCTGTGTGGCCTCAGGGTCCTCCACAGAGCAGGCCGCGTGGTGGATCACTGAGGCACACCGCACAGAGGCCCGCTGCCTTGCGGTGAAGAGCCGAGCCGCGCACACCAAGGCCCTGGCAGACAGTCCACGGGGCAGCAGACCCAGCCTGCACACCCTCCAGCCCGCCTTGCCCAGTGGCAGCTGTGAAAGACTCCTCCTGGGCCTGTCCCACCGCCCAAGGACCTTCAGTGCCAGGAATGCATCTGCATGTCCTGTCGTCCAACCTGGAGGCCGACCCCAGAACAGAGCCAGTGAGCCGAGGACACTTCAGCTCCCAGACCCACTCGGGCCACCTCTGCTTCCCTCCCCCACTTTCTCAGGGGCCAGCATTTTGGCACACACACTGAATACCGCGTGAATTGGGGCGAACTTCGTGGCGCCTGCATCCTCTCCTCTACTATGGAACGGGGCGAGGTGAATGCTTTCCAAGTGTCTATGGCCCCCCAAGGCTGATAAGCAGAAGCCCATCAGAAAAGTATAAAATATGGCTGCAGCGGTCAGGTGGGAGGAGGGCAGGGGGCCCTGCTGCTCTGAGAGTGCCTCCCTCCCTCCACTGAACCCCAAGGAGTAGAGTTTTCAAAACACAGGGTCTCCTGCTGGCCTTTCGGGTTTCGTGGGGTTCCAGCCAACGCTGTAACGAAACACCTACAGCAACTCTCCACAGAGGGCCAGCTCCTCCCTGTGGCCTTCCCCCGGGACTCGGTGTCCTTGCCGCCGCACAGCAGGCTGGCTGTGGCCGTGCAGTGTGTGCTCTGAGGACCTGGGCTTGGCCCAGGAGGTCAGCACACCATACTGACTGTTTTCTTTTCACAAAGTAAGGACAGAATCACTAACCAGAGGCTGGGGAGCGCTTACTGTCGGCTGGAACAAAAGCAGCGAGGGCCAGGTTGAGGGTGTTGGGTTTCCTGAAGTGAGCTTAGAGGTCGAGCCCCCTGAGGCACCCCTCCTAGTGCTGGGAGTGGAAGGGTAGATGTCAGACTGAAAGCCCTGCCTGTAGTGACCGGCCGCTTGAACCTAGGAAGGACACTGTCTCCAGGAATCAGTGACTTTTTGTCACCTTGAAACTCACATAGAAATAAAGTGGGCAGCCAGCTTTGTCCCTCTGGGTGGGGTAGAGGCTGCAGGCCTTGCTTCTCTCTGCTCTGGGAGATGCCAGAAACCTCAGGGCCTGGCAGGGGGAGGGCCCGGTCAGGCTGCCCTCCTTCCTAAAGCTCAGTGCTAGGAAGGGCCACTTTGTTCCTTCTTCGTGTGTGTGTGGTACTGGGGATTGAACCAGGGTGCTTTGCCACGGAGCACCTTCTTATTTTCACTTTGGAGGGGGTACTGGGGATTGAACTCAGGGACTCTCGACCACTGAGCCACACCCCCAGCCCTATTTCGTATTTAACTAAGAGACAGGGTCTCACTGAGTTGCTTAGCGCCTCGCTTTTGCTGAGGCTGGCTTAGAACTCGCGATTCTTCTGTCTCAGCCTCCCATGCTGCTGGGATTACAGGCGTGTGCCACCGTGTCTGGCTTTTTTTTTCATTTTTGAGACAGGGTCTGGCCAAGTAGTCCAGGCGGCCACCTGCTGAAGTTTGCCATCTTCCTGCCTCAGCCTTCTGAGCCTCTGGGATCGCAGACATGTGCCATGAGCCTTGTGCTTCACCCTTCTTCATCCCTGCCCTCTCCCCATGCCCGCTGGGGCCTGAGGCCATGGGTTCAGCCCCTGGAGACACCTTCTGGCTGCAGGGCCCCTCCTGCAGGAAAGTGACCAGGGGTTTCCCTTTTTTGCAAGAACCAGGATGTTTAATGCAGTCACAGATCCTGCCTCATCTGCTCAGAAAAAGGCTAAAAACACTCCCATATGGAAATTTAGGTCCACAGCTTCCATGGTGCGCTGACCTCCTGGGCTGGACATCGTAGGACATGATTGGCATGTCACACAAGCACATAATACACAGACGTGAATGTAAGGCTGTGTCCCCCAACCATTGTCAGCCTTGTTAAACTGTAAAGGAAATGCTGCCACCTGCTGTCAGTCCCAGGAACTGCAATCACGACTTCCACGGGATTTGGCTTTGCTAGTGCATTTGGGCACAGGGACTGGACCCGCAGTACTGTTCTGTGGCTAACAGGTAGCATTTGTTGAATTTATGCTGTCTTCAGAAGGCAGTGTTCAGTCAGGGAGGCATTTATAGCATTACCTAGAGTGAGCTTTGTAGCAAAATTGTTGCTGCAGATTCTGAAACAGCACCTTCAGACACGCATTCCAACCACAAAGCACAGCTGCTAAGGACCAGCCCACTGGGATTGGGAGTTCTGTGCTCACCACGACAGAAGGCTGCTCCAGGAGCATGTCTGATGTGGAGGCAGGGGAGCCCGTGAGAGTCCTCAGCATCGTTCATTTCACCCCACTGGTAGAGGAGGCTGTGGCCAGGGCACCCACCTAGCTCCTCCCAAAGCGAGAATTAAAAAGGTGCGATATCCCGGCCAGCGGGCATCCCTCTTCAGCATGCTCCCCCTTGGTGATGGGCCTTAAAGGTGACAGGGGATCTGTTGAGTCAGGCTCCCTCCTGTTGTCACTAAAATAAAGCCCTCTCACTCCACGGGCATCCCAGAGTGCTCCTAAGAGGTCAGTCTTCTCCTTCCTAAGGTTCAGGTAAATGAGCACCTGGCTGAGGGCAGGCAGGAGACGTCGGGCCCAAGCTCTAGGAGAACCCCTGCCACCCCTCGGAGAGGGAGAGTCGTCGTCTTCACCAGATTGTCATACCACCACCGTCACCCCTCTCACCTGGTTGCAGGGAGTTTACATAAAGCAAAGAGTCCATCTTATTAGAACTGTAGAATCCAGAGGCAGACAGGGTTCCTGACCTGAGTTCATCCCAGACACACCTGTGACACGTCAGCCGGGGACGGCTGCCTCGAGGGCAGGAGCTGAACCATCCTCATACAACTCAGCCGGTGGCTGGAACAGGACAGATCTGCAATCCACCTCCACTGGGTTAAAGTGCCTGGGAGAATGGAGAGTTCTAAACAATGCCACAGGCGGGAGCTTCCAGAAGAGATTAGTGCAACAGAGGCCTTGGGCCTCTTGTGCCCCCAGGGGGTGACTCACCTTGCTGGAGGTTAGCAGGTGCAGATGTGCTGCCCACAGACACAATGAAGTCATTCTCCCTGGCATGGGGGACTCCCTGACTTTTCCTAGACTCAAGTGGTCTTGCTGGTGGTGAGATGGGGGACCGGGCTGCCTGGGCCTGAGGCCAGGTAGGCATGGGACTAAGCAGTGGGGTGAGCAAGGCCGTGTCTCCTCTTGTCCTCCACCCGGCTCTGGGCGCCACAGAGCCCGCCCTCTTCACCTCACTCACTTGCTCGTGTTGGTCCATTTGTTCCATAGAAATCACCGCCCAGTGCTGGCCACCCGCCCAAAGTCAAGGTGAAGAGCTCGCCCCTGATCGAGAAGCTCCAGGTAGGTGCAGAGTGTGTGTCCCGCTGCTCGCTTTCTTCCATTTCTCATCCCAAAGTCGCAGGTCTTGGGGGCTTCAAGGGGTGCTCCCCATTTTCACCTGGATAGTTGTCCCCTGTCACCAGTTAATGACCAAATTGCCCTAAAGGGCGAGACTGGCAGCCTTCACCTGGGGCAAAGATCTAACAAGGACCATGTCACGCATGAGTGGACAGGTAATGGGTGCCTCGAAAGTCTTGGAAAAGTACACTTTAACTGCAAGAAACACTCCAGGAAGACGGAGCCCTCTGCTCAAAGGCCTGAGCCAGCCACACACCGCTTCAGCCTTACTCAGGGCTGCAACAGAGCCACTGTGTGTGGCGGGGACATGACCAGATCCCTTGGTTGGCCAGCATTCTGCCCTGCCCCTCCACTGTGTGCCTAGAACCCTTGGAAACTGTACCCATGGCTGGGCAGGCCCCATGGGGTGTCCATGAACAGACGACTCTGCCCTGAGCTCAGAATCTTGTGGGGGAGACAAGGTTTTCACACCTGATACAGTGAAAGACATGGAGGGAAAGGCTAAGATCTGGTGTGTGGTGGGCCAGCTCCTGCTGATCCATCAGGGCCTCTCAACCTTGGTCTTTGGGGGCCAAGGTACTGTCCTGTACTCTAGGCTCCGGGCTCCACGTACCCTCCAGGGATCTCAGAAGGGCCCAGCACTCCAGAACTCCTCCTGGCAGCCCACTAGGGGTGGAGCCGGGGACCTGCCTCCGCTCCCTGCGGCCCTCCATACTCTTGTCCAAGTGCCGGAGATTAGTTCCCAAGCTCCGTACCCTGCGTGCGTCCGTTCCCTTTCCCGGTCACTAATGAGCCTTTTGGGAAAACTTGGCGAGTTCAGAATGAGATCTGGACATGTAGCTGTTGAGCCTCCTTAAGAAGGTCAGCCAAAGCCCATGGGGGGACGGGTTGGGGAGGGGACAGGGAAGCCACTGTCAGCGTGGATTTCCCTCTCATGTCCTACTGCATCCGTTAGGAACTGGATTCTCTTCACTAGAATGTCCTTGATTCAAAGGTCAACTTTCTTTGTTGCTGTGTGGTTGATTAGTAAGATCCACTTCACTTGCAAGCAGCCACAGGGAGGGATCTCCCTGCGAAAAATCTGGAGGGGCGGAGAGCCCTCCTTTAACAGCCAGGAGAAGGCGCTCTGCCCCAAGCCCTGAGCTGGCCCTGCTCCACTCCCTGGGCTCTGAGGGCTGAGCCTCCCCGTGGCACTGATTACGTGCTGCTTCTTGACTTGGCTTGGGCTCAGGGCGTCGCTTCTTCACTTGAATACTTTATACGTTTCATTTTTTGTTTATTTATTTATTTGTACCAGGGATTGAACTCAGGGGCACTTGGCCACTGAGCCACATCCCCAGCCTGTTTTGTATTTTATTTAGAGACAGGGCCTCACTAAGTTGCTTAGCGCCTTGCTGTTGCTGAGGCTGGCTTTGAACTTGCAGTCTCCTGCCTCAGCCTCCCGAGCTGCTGGGATTACAGGCATGTGCCACTGCACCTGGCTACATTTAATTATTTCCATGATTCATTCTGGCCTTATTCATCCTTTATTAGGATCACAATAAAAATACTGATGCTTTCTTAAACCCATTAGTACTCTGTAGTTTGCAAGTCCTGAGTGCACCTCCCTTGGCTGGAGGAGGTGGGGGCCCAGGGCAGTCAGGAGGGTGTGCCTGTGAGGTAAGAGCCGTGAGCCACAGAAGATAGCAAACAGGGTCCTCTATAAAGACTCTGGAGTTCAGCCTAAAAGGAAAGGAAAGATAACAACCTGAGACTCAGACAGGCTCCTGGGCTGGCAGAAGGTCACACAGCAGCTGTGAAGTGCAAGACCCAGTATTTGCAGTCGGGTGAGTCATCATGGAGAACCCATGGACCTCCGGTTGCAGCTGCCTGTCCTGGTCTGTCTCTTCTTGATGAGGTCCCACTGCTGTCTGGAGGACACACAGTGACTTGGCGATGAGAGGGCAGGAGGGGGACACTCGCGCACTCTCTTCGCTGATGCCTCCTGCCATGGCAGCGGCTGGGTTGGGGTCTACCCGCCCTCCCCTGCCCAACCCTCCCTTTGGTCACCCTCGGCGATTTGGATGCAGACTCACCTGCACCGTGACTTCCCAGTGAGGCACGCGCTGATGTGTTCTGCCCCTCCCACCTGAGAGGAGGCAGCGGTGGCCACCATGCTGGCCACCCACCAGGAGGGAACCAGGAGGCTGAGGCACGAGCTCCGGGGAGAGGTCCCTTGCCAGGTTTCCGATGTGTTCGTGAGAACAGACCCCACGCGCAGGGCTGCTGCCGAGGTGACATCTGCCAGTGCCAAGCGGGGCCTCCGCTGCGTAGCAGCTGCTGCTGAGTGGCTGGCAGCGATGGGGACCGACCTTCCGTGAGACCCGGGGACCTGCGGTGCCTAGCAGCTGCTGTTTGGGCTACCAGCTGGGGCGGTACCGGTGCCGGCCCCTTGGTTGGACCCGCCAGCGTTGGAAGACAGCGTGTGGCAAGCCAGGTAGCTGGAGAGAGGGAGCAGGCCATGCTGTGGCCCCAGAGAACTGGCTGCCAAGTAACAGGAGAAGCCTCGAGTTAACCAGTCTCAGCCAGTTCCGAGCCAGGAGACCCACAAGCCCAAGTAGAAGCCCTGGTCCTCTCCGCACCCCTACTTGAAATTCCTCGCCGTTTCTCAACAGGCCAATTTGACCTTCGATCCAGCGGCTCTGCTGCCCGGGGCCTCGCCCAAGAGTCCTGGACTCAAGGCCATGGTGTCACCGTTTCACAGTCCCCCGTCCACCCCCAGCAGTCCTGGCGTGCGGCCCCGGCCTAGCGAGACAGAGGAGGTACCTGTCAGCTTCGACCAGCCACCCGAAGGTAGTCACCTGCCCTGCTACAATAAGGTAAACTCCGGTTCCCAGGTGCTACGCTGGGCCACGTGACCCTGCATGTCCCCTCCCCTGTTGTATTCCTGGAGAGGAAGAAACTGCTCCTCTCCCCCACTAGTGACTCCTGAACTAAGCTCACCTTCCAGCTAGCCGCCTCTCTCCTCCCTCCCTGCCTTGTCCCTGTGGTGGCCCGACACAGTCTGGGGACAGAGTAGGCTCTGCTTTGTGGAGAGCAGTGGGGATTCAGAATGGAGCCCAGCTGCACAGGCAGGGACCTCAGGATCTGGAAACAGACGTGAGGACCTGACCTGTGGCTCACACAGAGGGCTGCCGGGGCCACCAGGACTGCAGGATTCCCTGTTCTGACCCGATGATGGGCAGGCTCGAGTTGCTGCCTGGGCACAGAGCAGAGGTCCTTCACCACAGGGTGCTGGGACCCGAGGCAGCTGGCGCCCAGTGGAGAGCCGTCCTTCCCACAGGACAGTGCGCAGGGAGCAGCAGGGAGGCAGGACAGCGCCTGGTCACACACCCAGGGGCTCCGACAGCAGCTAGGGAGCAGGTCCAGGGAAGTCCCCTGAGAAACAAGAACTTACTCCAAGCCTCGGAGAAGGAGCTAGGATCGACAGATACCAAAATGTCGTCAGCGGGGAAATAAGATGACAAAACGTTAGTTTACATAGTGTTAAAGGAGACACGGCTTCCGTCACGTAGGGCAAAGCCTAGTGTCCCAGATGAAGCCTGATCCTGAGCCCTACATACTTTTGATGCAGAGGATCACGCCGAGCTGCTGAGGTAGGGCTCCCGACCCTGGGCCTGACTCCCAGGAAGCAAAGGATTCGCGGCTCAGCCTTGCCAGTGTGAGCCAGCTTTGAGGGGCAAGGCAGACCCAGCCGGGGCAAGAGAGGAAGCTGGTCACGGCCGTGCAGCTCAGCCCGCGAGGTCCCTGACCGGGGCCGGGCCATCTCCAGACCTCAGGCCTCTTCCTTGGTGGGCTCACCTTTGTCTAAAAAATGTTAAAGCCCGACTCTTACAAACTAGAGCCAGACTGTGTCCAACTCGTCAGTGTAGGAAGAAGCCTGGCGACGGCGGAGTCCACTCAGAGCAGTTGAAGAACTGATTGCTTATAGGTACCGCCTTAAAAAGATCTCCCCACAAAATCGCTAAGTCAGACACCAAACCGGTGGCGTTTCCCAGGGCAGCGCCGTGCCCAGCTCCCTTGTTTCTCAGGCGAGAGGCCCGAGGGCTTCTCCAGGAAGCTGAGCCGTGGGTGGGGGGCGGTTGGGGAGCACTAGTGGGCCCTGGAAGGACAGCAGCCTCCTCTGGGCCCTTTCACAGGTTCTGGGTGATGTTTCTCTCTCTCTTTCTCCAGGTGCGGACCAGGGGCTCCATAAAGAGACGCCCTCCCTCCAGGCGGTTCCGAAGGTCGCAGTCGGACTGCGGGGAGCTGGGAGAGTTCAGGGCATCTCAGGGGAACGGCACCCGGGAGGAGAACGGGGAAGAAGTGTTCACAGTCAAGAGCAGGGCCCCAGGGGTGCCCCCGGCCAGCCAGGGGGCAGAGGGAGAGGGGGACAGGGGAGCCCCAGGATGCGATGGGAAGCCTCCTCCGGGGACGCCCAGCAGGACAGGGAAGCCAGAGGAGAAGGCCAGCACCCCAGGGGAGGCCAAGCAAGGTGAGGCCGGGCAGAATTCAGAAGCAGCTGGCCAGAGCCCTGCAAAGGAGGCCCCAGAACCTCCCCGAACGGCCAGCCCAGAGAGAGAGGCTGGGCCCGGGGGCCCGGTGCAGGAGGAGGCAGCCGGAGAGGAAAAGGAGAGGGCGAGGTCCACGGAGGAGAAGGGGGAGAGCGCTGGAAACCGAGAGGACCCGCCTGGACACGAGGGCCCAGGTGCCGAGGAGCCGGAGCGCGAAGCTGTCGGGGACGAGGCCGCTCAGCGTCCTCCTGAAGACCTGAAGGACGGCCATGTCCCTGCACAGGAGCAAGGCCAGGGAAAGCAAGAGGAGCCGGCAGCTCTGCAGCCGGGCTCCAGCCACGCCACACTGGAGGCCAGCAGCAAGGTCCCCACGGTAGGTGGCCCGGCTCGGTCACCCAGGACAGCTGTGCAGGCCCGGGAGTGCCCTGTCACACGCCCTGTGCTTGTGATGAGGCAGCTCAGTGGGCGGAAACGAAGGCGGCTGGCTCCAGCCTCATGCAGGCTGCAGGGAGACAGGCTGTCGCTGACAGGACAAGGGGACAGGACAGGAAGGGAAGTGTGTCTCTCGTGGTCAGCGCCTCGCTGACGGGGAGTTCCGGGAGGCTGAGTGTGTGCGGAGGGCGTGAGCCCTGCACAGTCGGGAACTGAGGCCACCAGTGCAGGGCCCTGGGCTCACGGCTGTCGGGGGCCCCGGGGTGAAACCAGGGTGCTCCTTCCAAGAAAAGAGAGAGACTCCCAGACTAGCAAGTCGGCCAGCGGCTCCTCGGCACGTGGACGTGGAGGCAGGACACTCCTGGGGAAGCCCAAAGCACGAGGGACGGAGAAGGGGTTGGTGTGGGGATCGGGGAAGGAGTTGAGGACCCTCCAGTGAAGGTGGCATTTGAGCTGAGCGGTTAGCCCAGGAGGCTCTCTGTGACATCCACTCAGGCCCTAGGCTCCTGCTGCCCCTGAGGAGGGGACAGCTGGCCTCGCTACCTTCCTCGCTTCTGGACCTTCCACCTTCCTCTGGCTCTTCCCCCTCCCCAGCTCCCAGGATCCCAGCTGGAGCTCACCTTTAGGGACAGAACCAGCCCCAAAGACTTGGGAAATTTCCCCCAAAGACCTGAAATCTCCCCCCAAAATCTCACTGGGCTGAGCGTGGCACTTGCCTCCTGTGTGCCTCGGGTTCGGTGCCCAGCACCACAAAAAGACAAAGGCCAGACCTTGGCAGCACCCACCCATCCCCGTCAGCGCAGCACCCCGTGTTCTCCCCTCCCTGCTCGCTGTGCCTCAGGGGTCACTCGCCACCCCCGCATCCTACCAGGCGCCTCCCCTGGCTGTGCTCCCACTTTCATTCCCACCGCGTATTCTGTTCCTGTGCAGCACCCCAGGGTGGGGGCATGGTGGGTGGTTAGTGGGGATCACCTGCTCTTGGCTAAAATCACTCGCCCTTGTGTCGGTGCTGTCTATGAGTGACCACAAATGTGGCAGCTTAAAACCACAGAAAGACACTTCCTCACTGTTCTGGGGACCTGGGCTCCAAAATTAAGTGCCGTGACCTCTGGACCCGGGGCCTCGGGAGAGCTGTCCCTCCCTGCCGTGGCCCTGCAGCCTCTTCCAGCCCTGGGGCTCGTCAGCACTGCTGGCCACACTATGGCCGGCAACTGCACCTTCACCCGGCCTTGGGCGGCCCCTGTGGGATTCAGATTTTCCTCTCCTCTCCCTTGTAAGGTATCAGCCATTGGGCATAGGGTCTGCCCTAAATCCAGAGTGATCTCACCATGAAATCCTTAATTACATCTGCAAAGACCTTATTTCCAAATAAGGATGCACTGGCCAGCTCCAGGGGCAGGACTGGACGTGTCCCTCTCTCCCACCCCTCCCCGCTATGTGCTCAAGCCGGGATGATGTTCTGGTGTTCCTCAGACACTGGGTGCACCCATTCCTGCCTTTCCCCTGGAAAACTTCACCTTCTGCCCCCTCGCATGGCCACTACCACCCCCCACCCAGCTCTCAGCTTAGATGGCCCCTCCTCGCCTAAGCCTGTCTGGACGCTCTCTCAGAGGCGTCCATCCTCCCCGTCAGTCACTGTCCACTAGCCCACTGTGTCACTATGGTGGGTATCACATTGTGAAATTCTCATGTTTGTTTTATTATTATCTTTTCTACTCTTTTCCCCTAGTGCATCCCTGATACCTACCTACTCCAGAACTTGGAATGTAAAAGGTTCCTAAAAAATATTTGTTGAGTGAATGAATGAACTTTAAAAGAGGTGAGAAAATTGCTGACCCCAGAGCAGTAACCCAAGGACAGGTCTAAGGTGGAAGGGAAGTGGGTGGTTGAAAAACTCCCAGGAGCCCTCCACTCCATCACGCAAACCAGAGGGAAGACAAGGAGGTGTGACTGAGACCCCTTGGGCTCCTCCATGAAGCAAAGATGCTTCCGATTTCCTACACCCTCCATTCTAAGGGAAACACCTGTAGCCTAGATTTTTTTTTTGCGTGTGTGTGTGTGTGTGTGTGTGTGTGTGTGGTGCTGGGGATTGAACCCAGGGCCTTGTGCGTGCAAGGCAAGCGCTTTCCCAACTGAGCTATGTCCCCAGCCCCCTTAGCCTAGATTTATAGTGCGCAATCTAGATTTAAAGCCCCTGGAGCTCGGAGAGTCCACCATGCCCCAGAAGGCACGTACAAGCCTGTCCTTCCTCCTTCCAGGGTCCAAGCGGGTCCCATGGTTCCCAAATCTGATTGTGCTCAGGCTAGAGGTGCCTGCCTTGCCAGGAGCTTCTCACCTCACCGACAGCATCCTCCCATCCTGAAGGGTCGAGTCCCTTGGATTTAGAGCTAGCAGGGCAGGACCGCACCTCAGGGGGTCTCGGGGAGGAGGCTTCCCGCAGCCTGCGGGAGCCTGGGGCTGGCTCAAGGTCTCCCCTTAGCACATGCCTGACAAAGGAACCTTGGCGAAGCCCCCAGGGGTCACCCCCAAACAGCAGCCTCTCCACCCTCCTCCTTTTCTTATTTCACTGAGATGCAAAACCTGGGTTTTAACCCAGTCCCTGGGTTTACAGAGACAGACATCCAGGCTTCAGGAGGCCCAGGAGCTGCCCCGGGTCACTGATTTCAATCACTGTGACAGATTGGGACCCGCTGTGGTCATCAGCTCAAACGGCCTTCAGAGCTCCTCCGCCCCGTGCGGACTTCAGTCTGCAAGGGTCGTTGCCTCGGCTCTTCTGTCCCTCCCCAGCCTGGTCAAGGTGAGGATCAGAATGCCCGCGTCCAGTGCAAAGGCAGCGCCAGCCAGCGAGGGCCACCGTGACAGCTTCGGGTACCGCTGTCCTAGGTCCTCCCCACCTGGCAGAGGCAGACACACCCTAAGCCGCTCCTCCACCCGCTGATCCAGTCCCTGCCGTGTGCCTTGATTGGCAGAAATACATTGGTCAGATGGACTAGTTCTGACCGGGTGAATGCAAGCAGCGTGCGCTGACCACCACTCACCCCCACACCGGGGGAGACACCGGGGCTCCGCGTGGGAAAGACAGAGGCACGGGTGTGCCCTCCACCGGCCTGCTGGGGAGCCCCCGGACGGGCGCTCTGCTCTTCAGGGGAAGGCAGGGCAGAGATGTGAGAGGGCCTCTGAGGGGCCAGCCCGCTCCTCGTCACCCCTCACGGGCATTTAACATTTCCTCGCAAAGGAGTGAGTCTTCCAGGGGCTTGCCGTGGCGGGCAGGTGGCGCATTGGAACAGCAGGTCGCGAGGGAGGGAGGCGCTGCAGGGGGTCCCTACAGCACCCACCATCCGACTGGGCGGGGCAGCCAGGTTTGCCAAGGACGAGCCTCACTGGGGTGGCGCCAGCCTGGGCACCTCCCCCCCAGCTCCAGGCTGCCCCAGGCCGGGCTCTTTGCTTCCTCCACTTTCACTTGGAACCTTCCTCCTCTTCCTTAGACTCCCAGACCCCGGGCAGGTGGCTGAGGCTCCACTGATGGCCCTGTCCCTCCAGTTCTTGGTGGTGCATGGCCCTGCATTCCCACCTCCACCTTCCTTAGGCACGGTCCTTCCCGGGGACCCCTCTGCTGGCCTCCTTCCCAGCACTGCCACGGTCTCCTTCTCATTTCTGTATCAGCCACAACAACTCCCACCAGAATTCCTGGGCTCCAGACTAGCCCCTCACACTCACACCAAATTCTTCTTCCTAAAAATACCACCTCTGTTGGCGCCTCTCCTGTCCTGAGACTGGATACTGCTGGCAGGGAAATGAAGTCCACTCTTCTCTACCCGCTGAGCTTTGCTGGAGTCCCTGCCCTTCATGGCTCCCCATTGCCTCATGGTGGGAGCTAGGCTGCAGGCAGCCAGCCTCTGCACCCACCATTCCCCACCAGCAGCCGCCTCCTCCCTGCTCTGCTGTCACTGAGAGCTCTCACTGCTGCCCTTGCTGCAGACCTACCTGGGCCCAGCCCTGGCCGCCAGGCATCTCCACCCTCTCCTCCTGGGCCTTCTTGATTGTCCCCAGGATAAATGTCCAACCTCCTTGTGCATTTGCTTGGGGTCAGGAAAGCTCACTAGGATGGTCCACGTCACATACCATGGGCACGTTCATGAAAGTCTCCATTTCTCAGCTGGTGGAGGAGGCCTGAGTCCCGGCCCAGCTGCTGGCGCAGGAGGAGCTCGCTAACAGTGAACCTTAGAATGAATGGCAAGTGAATCGCCCGTGGTTGTCCTTTTACACCAGCATCAGGCCTCTATTTAGTTTTTGCAGTGCTGGGTGTCAAACCCAGGGCCTGGCACAGGGCAGGGGAGCCACACCCCAGCTCAGCAATCTCTTTTCATTTCACTGTGATATTTTCCCATGTGTATGTTGCCATAGAACTTGGAGCCATATTTCAGGAAAAGGAAATTGAATGGGAATCCCCTTGGAGTGGAGGACTCAAGCTCTGGTCCTTGGATTTAAATCTTGACTCCACCACTTACTAGCTGTGTGACCTAGGGGAAGCCACTTCCCCACTCTGTGCTTCACTGTCTCACCTTAATACAGAGTTAATGGGGATGGGTGGGTGCCTGTAAAGGTGATGTCAAGCTCCTAACGTCGTGAACACTGCTGCCCCCAGCCTGGGTCTCGCCTCATGGGGCATCCCCAGGGAGGCTGCTGAGCGTCCAGCTTCCCATTCTCATTCGCTTCCAACTCATGCTCTCCCCCTCTTTACAGGATGACAGCCCCTTCCAGGACACCAAAATGTGAAAAGGAGCTCGTGGTCCCTAGTGGCAAAGCTGCTACAGACATCTCTTTGGAAGTGGCAGCAAAAATGGTAGCAGCAGCAGCAGCAGCAGCAGCAGCAAATGAAGCCATCGCAGAAGCAGAAGATGCCGTCCGAAGCCGGCGGGGGACACGGGAACCCGGACGGCTGTTCCTGGCCTCCATGCCGGACGTCCCAGTGGATGGAGAGTGAATCCACGGGCAGCAGCTTATCAGCTTGAGCTTGTGTCATTTGATGGACTCTGTCAATGTTTAAAGCCACTGACTGTGGTGACAGCTCCCCAGGGAATGGGACAGCCTGGGGACCTGGGCACCCCCCCCACTCTCCCAGCAGCCCACCGCCCGTTGAGCTGACTGGGCTCACCTGATGCTGCCTGTGTACAGTCGCAGCCTTTCACTAGTCTAAGATCTCTGTGGTTCTCCAAGGTCAGTAAAAATTAACTTTGGGTGGGTGGAAAGGAAGAAAATCATCTTGCTAAAAATAGAATTCCTGTAATTTATAGAAAATCTTAAACTGTATCAAGGCCCCAGAGACAGCTTTTCAGCTTCTGCACATGTGAGCTGCCCAGCCGATTCTGAAAACATTGGACCCAAAGAGAGACTTACTGAAACCTTAAAGAGAAAAAAGTTTGGCTTATTCCACCTCAGGAGCTCTCCTGTCCACGGTCTCCAGCTGAGACTCCCAGTGGGTGCTGGCTCAGGGCAAGCCTGCTGCCACCAGGAGGGGGCCGGAGGGACTCCACAGAGAGGCTGGTGGCCAAGCTGGGCCCCTGAGCAACGCTGGCTGATTCCGCCCGCCTGTGTAGCCGTCGGTGCCCACTGCAGCCTCCAGGAGGAGCCTCGAGCTGCCCATGCAGACACCCCTCCTGCTCCCCTGGCTGGAGCCTCTCCTGAGCCTCAGCCCGGCCTTCTGCTGACCCAGGCGGGTCTGTCCTCACCCTCACCGGTGGCTCGTGTTTAATACCGTTGGAGAGAACATGGAGGTGCAAGGCCCGGCCACCGCTCCTTGACCCGTGAGGGGAGGGGTCCCTTCGTGTGCCTGGGGTCTTCTCTGGCTTGGCATCTAGTGCCTCAGCAGCTGGTGTGGCAGTGGGAGCTCGTCAGGCCACTCGGCCCCTGACGTCACAACAGTGCCAGACAGAAAGGCCTGGTGTCACCAGGGTACCTCAGGTTTCTCATCCAATTTAGTCTTTCTAAATCCAGCACAGTGTTCACATTTGAGATTCTCATGCATTTTTTTCAAATTGTTTTTAAATAGTTTGTAACTTTGTAACGAACTTGAAACCTGGTTGAGACTGATACTGTGGTTGCTATGATAAACTCTAGATTCTAACAGAATTTGGGAGATACGTGTGTCGGTTATTTTGAGGTCTGTGTACTGTTTGTCTGTGGACGGGGTCTGCTCACACACAGATCTGGGCGAGCTCTGGGGGGGTGTGCACACGACTGTGCTAAGAACAGTGTGGAACAGAAGCCTGGGGTGGAGAAGGAGGGCACACTTCTTGAGGGTCTAAACCCAGTGGCACATGAGAAAGGAGCAGGGGAGGGGGTGGGGGTTGGGGGAGCCAGCCTGATGGCCAGGAGCCCTTCCTACCCTGACCCTTGTCAACCACACCATTTGATCCGCGTGAGAAAGCAGTGACCCACCCCAGGCCGTGCCAACTGCTGATGGGGCCTCTGGGCAGGGGTCCCCTAGGGACAGGAGGCCCTTTTGTGGTACTGCCATAAAGGTGTCCTCTGTCCTCCTGGAGCCCCTCCATCAGGCCTTGCCCCGGCCTGGTTGACCTGGGGACTTCTGAACTGGGGTTGCAGAAGGCCATTGGCATCTTAGGTGGCACAAAGTCAGAACCAGGGCAGGAAGGCCTTTATTTAGGTTCATTTAGAGGCTAAAAATAGAACACAGATCTTCCACAGCAATAAGGCAGGAGAGGAGTCGGACTCCTTCTTCCACTCTTCCTGTAGTCACGCTCGAATTTCAGACTGGGCCTTCCTTACTCCAGAGAGAGAGCAAGGGAAAAAACATTCTGTGTGCTTTGAACAGACCTGCCGGTGCCTGCAAGGGGGCCTTGCTGCTCTTTCAGCCGCACAGGGGACAGCAACTCCGCGACCTTGAAGAGCCCTGGCCTCTGAGCCTTGCGCTCTCACACAGGAAACCAAGTCCATGTGGCTGCGCAGGATTTGGACCAGGACTGGCCGGCTGATGCTCGATTAATACATGTCAAATAAAGGAATAACTGAGTGGAAAGGAAAGCAGTTGATTCTTTCAATTGGACTCTTTTGTTCTGGTGAAAGTTTGATGCCATCGAATGAGTGAGGACACTGCTGGTGACAGGAGCCCAGCTCAGATGGGCAGAGGAAGGCAGAGCTCGCTCCCAGCCCCTCACACACCGCTCTGCTGGTCACAGGACGGAAAGTCCACACGCAGGAGGAACAGGTGCTCGAGTAACTCAGGGATCTCACTTGGGGCCCTGCTTCCCCCTCTGGGGGGCTTGGCAACACTGTCCCCAGCGCAGCAAGGCTCTAGGACATGATCCGGACGCTGCCCTCCTCAGCGGTGGCTGAGTGGATTACTGGAGGTGGGCCCAGTTGGAGGAAGCTGGTCACTGGGGCTGATCCAGTCCCAGCCCCCTCCCCCCCCTCTGCTCCTGGGCAGCTTTCCTCGCCGCCGTGCCCCTCCACCACGATGTCTCTGCAATGGAGCCAGCTGACCATGGACCGAGACCTCTGAAACCGCGATCCAAACGCACATTTCCTCCTCTAAGATGTTTTGGATAAGTATTTTGGTCTCAGAGACAGAAAGCTGACTCACACAGTGGGCCATATCCTTAGGCAGGCTCCTCCTAGCCTGCAGACCCCAGGGAAGGGTCCATTGGCTCCAGGGACTAGAGAGGCCTCTGGCAGGCAGCAGCACCTGCGTCTGAGAGAGGAGAGGCCCGATGCAGTGTCGGCTCCTGCAAAGCGCTGTTACCAAAGGACACCACCCGGGGCAGGAGGAAAGCGACTGTCCCCAACTGAGCAGCACCCACAACACTCGTCCATTGTTGGCTTCAAAATTAAATTTTGCTTAGTTCTAGTGAACTTTGTGCTCTGTGAACCAGGTAAAAATAACATGAACAGAAGGTCTCACGAAAGTGTGATCAGTTGGCTCATGAAGACGTCGCAGGCACCGGGGAAAATCAAATGCTGCGCAAATAAAATGGGACTAGGTTTCACAAGTCACCAAGGAAATCAGCCTTGTTGTTCTGTGCCATAAAGTGTCACGTGTCCAGAGTGCACCTGAGCCCCAGGAGGTCCAAGACGTCACCACTACTACCCGTCACTGTGTCCAGGCCGCTGACATAGCAGGTACTCAGTAAATAGTTGCCAGATAATGAATGATCGAACCAAGTTCACAGTGGGAAGGGGATTGTCTTCAACATCGTTGCCTCCCACCCCTCCCTTGTCTCATCCAGTTGTGTAAAATGTCAAAATTAGCAACTGACTCCCTTGGTGTCCTCCTTCCCAGTCAAAAGGCAAAAATTCCAGAGAGACATCATGTTTTGCGCGTCCTGTGTCATTCACCCCATGGTGCGAGTTGGTTTTTGAGATCCTTCCCAAAAAGGGTTAAAAGGGAAGAGCACAGGGCACAGAAGTCTTGGCGAAGACACCACTTCTCTGACTCCCTAGCTCCCCCCACCTCCCGCATGACCCTGGCTCCAGGGTGGCCCTGGTCTCCTGACCACGGAGGAGGCTGAAGAAAGGCCATTATTCCAGCTCTGCCCTGAGTCCCAGGAGAGCTGTGGAGCTCCAGGGAGGCCCACTGTGGTGCACTGGGGCAGGAAGCTGTGGCTCTCTGAGACCCTCAGGGGAGAGGCTGTGATGAAGGAATGCCAGGCCTGCAGCCAGAGGGAGCCTGCGGAGCCAAACCACGCCCCTCTGAGCACGAGAAGTCTCCTCAGGCCCTCCTGCTGCGGGACAGCGGGACAGCAGGACAGCGGGACAGCGGGTGTGTCCAAAGGAGCTGGAGGGCCCTGGCTCCTGTCCAGACGATGCTGGCAAAAGCGGCGGCACCCTGTATCCCAGCGGGTGCCCTGGTAAGTAACGAACGAGGCCCTGCACTGTGTGGTTTGACCCAGAAATGTAGGAAAATTACTTGAAAGTGGTGGACCGTTCAGGTCCTTGGCCCATTTATGATCTTGGGTTATTTGTTTTTTTGGTGTTTAGCTTTTTGAGTTCTTTATGTACCCTGGAGATTAGTGCTCTAGCTGATGTGAGGGGTAAAGATTTGCTCCCGGATGCAGGCTCTGTTCACCTCACAGAGTGCTTCTTTTGCTGAGAAGAAGCTTTTTAGTTTGAGTCCATCCCATTTACTGATTCTTGATTTTAATTCTTGTGCTGTACGAGTCTCCTGAACAGAGACTTCTCAGAAGAGGATAGACAACCAATCGGCAAACATGA